AATATACATTGCATTATGTACTCGAAGTATACGTAATTATCTCAGATTCCACGAATAGTAAAAAACCGATTTATATTTTTATTTAATCTCTCAATTATATTATTTATTATCGGTATTTTAAAATATGGTAAAACGCTTTAAAAAGATTAATTGATCATTAAAATGTCATATGCGTTGATTTCTCTGAAAATTGGCTTCATCTGATAGACTTAAAACAGAAAATTATATTACTAATTTAAACGAATGATTCTTTGACTTGAACAGTAAATAGCAGTTATCGTATCGTAGTATCATCAAGGCAATTAACCGTTAGAAATATGCTTATCGATAAACTAGATTTGCGTACAAAAAAATTATATATTTAAAGACATATTTAAGAAAAAATGTATTAGTTGCCTATATTATTTTCTTCTACTTAAAACAATTTTAAACCGCGAAAGAGTTAAATGGTATAAAAATAATCTGATCTGAGTTATGATTGTAAATATGATAAAGATTCCAGAACCGACTGAAAGATCACACCAACTTGACATGCAACAAACAAGTTTTTACTTAGAATTATAACTCAAAGAATAAAAGTGTATGTATTCAATGTATGGTATACATACATTGAATACATATTATTCACATTGACTTCAAAATAAAATTTAGAGATAAGATAATATCTAACACAACGATATATTTTGAATAATTTTTGATATTTTCTGTAATTAATGTAGGATACAAAAATTGCTTTTAAATAAAAAATAAGTAAAAACAAAATAGATAAAAATTTTCAAGTATATTTGTAAAAATTCAATAAAGGATATTTCTATAAAAAATACGATAAAAGTCTCATTACAAATCTTTCAAAACATTTCACATTGATGAAAAAAAAATTTTATTTACGTAATTAACTAATCAAAGAATGCTTTAAATCATTTGCAACATCACATTAACCATAATCAATTTTGCATGAAAAATAGAGAGAAAAGAGAAAATATTGAGCAGTCTCACTATTTTCTATATTATTATAATGTCAATTACGTTATCGCACTAATAAAAACCATATCAAAATATGTGATTGCTTAATTTTTTTACCATTAATAATAGCAATGTCACGGATATCCATTAATTCACACAATATTACGATTATTGCGATCAATTGTTACCTATAGATAGACGTAACTTAATTTAATCGACAAATAAATCTCAAGTCTTGTTGGAAAATTTCTTAGTTGTAATTACATTAGGAAATTACTGCGTTATATATGTATAAAACGCTGTGTAATATATGTAAATTTTCATTATAAGTTTCCCAAGGAACGGAAATAATAGGAGAATTTTCCAACGATAAAAATAACAAATCAGAGATATTCTGATTTACATTGAGTTTCCGAGAAAGAAGTACAAAATACACATTAACTATGATAAATAAGAAACGGTATAATTAATTTAACACATATCCCTTATCAAGTCATGGAAAAATAAAGTATACCACAAGCATTATAAAGCACATATTCTATTTCACTTGCGTCGTTAATATAATGCAAACTGTCTTGTGTATCCCTCAAGGTACGTGTACATGATATTCCAGAACAAAGAATTAATATTTTATGAAATATCAGTCATTGTCGGAGGAAACGTTTCATATAAACGTATTTTGTGAACTTATTTCAATTTCATCTTTAATCAACACTTTGTAACTCTGCAACACGTGTTCGTGGAAACTTTCAACTTCCACCATTCGAGATATTGACCATTCTTTCTAGAAGTTCTTGTATATGAGAAGAATACATTTTCTATTTAACCCTTTAAAGTATAGTGTATTACACTTTTACGTAACATCTCTTAAAAAAATTAGAAAAATATATTTCTTAGAAATTTTTTTATAACTTTTTATATCTATTATATTACCTAGTATTGTAAATCACTAAATCTTAATATGTGAAATAAAAAATTTTAATTTCGTAACGATTCACTCGGGGAGAGTTTCAAAGTCCGAATTTTTGGTTTGTGCGTTATAACAAAAAATTTGTTTATACAAAATATTAACGAACTTGATATCCAAAGAGATCGTTGATTTTGAATCTAAAGTCAAAATCGTTAAATTTTGACAGCTAAAATGCAATAAAGCTGCTGTTTCCATTTTATACAAATTAGTTAACTTTTTATATTGACGTAAATCCGTCATATTAAATCCTCTTTTTTAATCTTTTTTAGATTTATTACCAATGATAACTGAAGACCAAATCAATCAAAGTGAATTTAATAATACTTTTGTGAATTTTACAATTTCCATGTAGCTTAAGCAAACAGCACACCGATTATTTGTTGATCTAAAGGCTGAAACTGGAGTAAAACAGCATAAATTAAATTGAGTCTAACTAAATAAGAAAAATCTTATATATCCGGTCGAAACGGATCTTAGTATTTAATAATATAATTTTTATACGAATTTTACAATTTCTAGTTTAAACAAACTACATGCTGATCATTTGTCTTATAATGTAATCATGAGCAAAATTAAAGTAGTAACATTATTTATTGAATTGAACAATTCAATAATTTTTTATACTTTTAATAAGCATTAAAATTAAACCGAATTCCGCGACTGCAATGAAATTATATTCTTTGCAATAAATTCTTTACAGTGTTTTAAAGATGCTCATTAGCATCAATTATATTAAATTGCTTGTCAAGTGCAATATTCTAGTTTAGGACTTCAGTTAAGGACTGTGTTTCAAGTTCGGCAAATAATCGGCGCGCAATTTGTTTGAACTAAAAATTATACTTGTAATTATTAAAAAGAGGAAAATTGCAAAAAAGCAAATATTTCTGTACGTTGACAAGAAAACAGAAATATATTTTGTAAATAAAAGTTATCTAATCAAGAGTATAACATACCGTCTAAATAATACAAGAACATAATAAGAAATTATAATCCTTGGAAACAGACATGCTAAAGTTTTAAAAAAGAAAAAGGATAAAAGAGAATTATCCCAAGCAGAACAACAAGTCATTATAATGTCAAAATGACTCCAAGATGATCATTAAAAGTCATTTTTCAATCATTTTTGATTCATTTTAATGTCATTTTGATGTTATCGTGACTTGCTGTTATGTTAGGGTAACTAAAGTTGAAAATAAAACTATAATAATTATAATGAGAAAATATCTAAAGTTGAAAAATAGCAAAGAAATCTAAATCTAAAAAGAAAAAGAAAAGAAAGATAATTCATCAACATACTTTATAATACTTCATATCTCAATGAAAAAGACAGAGAAGAATAACAATATGCCATTATAATTATTTAAATGTTTGTATTTTTAGAAAATTTTTGATTAAGAAACAAATTGTCGAAAATACAGAGCATGAAAAAACCTTCTAATATAGTATAAAAAAATAAACAAATATATATATATATAAACCTAAAAATAAAACTGAAAATAAAGCTAAAAAGGTATTAAAAAAGATAACCACTTATCAATTATACAAAAACGAGTAAGGTCCATAGACGAGAATTAAAACAGTTATAGATAAAAATAATCGCGATTCTATTTAAAAGAAAGTACAATTTTATATTTATAGTTTCATATTTATGTCAAAGGAATAACAGATTCAATATATCATATAATTTTAGTATCATTGATATCATAAAAATAATCATTTACCGCTGATTAAACAAAAATAAGCAATATTAAAAATGCCATATGATTATGTTTTAAATTATTTTTATCACAGAATCTATAATATATAATGTAATATACGTATATAATTTCTTTTGTTCAAAGCAAAAAAAATTAATAAGGAACAGTATTGTGTGCACAAGCAACTATTGTCCATATACTTTTAGATTATCCTAAACGAAATTACTATGTTCTGATGACAGCAATATGATGGTAACTAAATAGAAATTTGTAGCAACTAAATATTTCTTTTTTTATGCAAAGGAACGCCTGGCTACCCAGGTTGTAATCTTTCTTTCATTTATGTAACAAATTTATATAGCAAAACAAATCATAGCTATACAAAAAAATGCGTTTCCTGTTTAGCGGTTTATTGGCAATTAAATGACATAGCATTCGCAATAATCTCTGATAATTTGCTATATATAGTTGTATATATATATATATATATATCTTTCTTCGAACTGATTTTAATACAAAACAATAATTTTTATATAAAACAAATTAAGTCATAAAATTGTTTGTGCAGTTTTATTTTATTTTAATATGTTTTAAGTAATAAACATGCAACAATAATAAAAACATAGGAAAAATACATTTTCTACTTGGTGATCTAAGAATTAATTAATACGGCAGTATTTGCAAAAACTTCTGATAATTTGATATATACATTAAATCTATATACATTTAATCTTTTATCGAACCAGCCTTAAAACAATGCAATTTTCATATAAACTAAACTAAATCATAAAATTGTTTTTGTAATTTTGTTTTTGTTTTAATGTATTTTATGTAACAAAGCATTTTATGCAGCTGAAAAATCGAAATTATTATAAATATAAATAGAAAAAATGCATCTTTTTCTTAATGATCACTGGCAATTAAATAACGAAGCATTCGCAAACATTTGATTATCCGAGATGTGTGTGTGTTTTATTATATATATATATATATATATATATATATATATATATATATATTTCTTCGAACTATCGAAATACAATACGTTAAAGTGGCTTTAATACAAAACGATATAGCTTTTAAAGAAAACAAATTAAATCATAAAATTGTTTTGTAAATTTATTTTTATTTTGATATAGTTTATGTTGCAATAAAAACATACAATCAGTATTAAACAGATAGTCACAAGAACATTATAAATAAAATTACTGCAAAATTTATAAATAAAATTTTATTTTTTCTTCAAAGAACATATCTATATATCCATAAAAATATTAGGAAATATGGTAAAACTTATAGAAAAGATTCAAATATAAAATAGAAACAAAATTTATTTCTTAAAACAATTTGATTATTATATAGAAGGTTGAAATTGTATCACAACATTTAGGAATCCCAATGATTGTCACTCAAATATCTCTCCATTATAATTAACATGATAACGATATACTGCCATCCCATTGTTCGGAAGGTATATTTGAGCTATTGCTTCGTTCAACATCGTCAATCATGCTGGCCCCTGTCATAGTCGGATTCGATTTAGTTGACTTATCAGTCAATTTGTCGACGTCCAGAATAGGTTCGATCTTAGGCTTCGTCCCATCGTGAACGCGTCTGCCAAAGCTTATGCTTCCACCTCTTCTCCTCCTGCAAGACCTTGACCCGCACTCTCGTGACCTTCGTCGTACACCTTTCTTACTGCACCTGCAGGCGACCCTTCGACTGCGCCCAGTTCTTCTATTACGTTGTGTTCTGGCACCTCTCGATCGATGAATCTTTCGCTGGCAGTACAAATCCAGCATACCGATCTCCTGAGCAGCTACCTCCTGCCGTGTGATCTCATTGTCGGTCGGCAGACTATACTGACCATCGGTCTTCTTCAAAATGCCATAAGTGACTCCGCGCTTTAAAGCATTCTGCATCTGTGACAGCAAGCCGAATCATCTTCATGAATACATGTACCTATATATATCAGATAATTACAATATCCAGAAAACGTATAACTTTTAAGCATGTATGATATGTCCCAAAAGACATTTTTATTATGTCTTTACATCTTTTAGATATGCATATACTATATAGTATATTGTCTAGAATAAACTTTTTACACTTTTTGTTATTTAGAAAAAGAATTATTTATTCAAAACCAATTTTGTATAAATAATTTCTACAAAAATTACACGATAATTTTTTATAAATTGATTAATTTGGTACTAGAAAAAAAATTTGTAAAATTTTATACTTTACTCGCTGTCTTAATGTCATGTTTTATATTCAAATATTACATAAAAATACTCTGATCACACATATAATAAAAATTACTAAAAATAAATAAACAATAAAAAAGGAAAAAGATAATGATAGTACTTTACGAACAGTTCCTTTGCTTAAGAAGTAAAGAACCGTTTTCTCGTTTTATTTTTATATATAGAATTAAAAATTCTAAAATTAATGCTTGATAATTTAAATAACAGCAGAAACAAGTTCATAAACTGTAAGATAATAATCATGAGTAATTGCAGAAATGTCGCAGGAAAATCGTGATAAAGTAGCAGTTAACAAACCAGGTTTAACAAATATGCAATAAATTATCTTTTTAATTAACTGACTAATAAATCACTGTAGGATCAAATCATTAAAATCAGTAAAATATGCACTTTTTCGTTGGAAAATTGTGCTGACACACTTAATTTAAAATACGCAGTTTTGAAATAAATGGCAAAATAACGTAAAATCAAAAATTGTGGCAAAAAATTTTAACAGTTAATTTGTTGTCAATCGACATTACTATGAATAATAACACGCGGAAAAAAACTTTTTCATTTTAATATGTAGGTACTAAAAAAATTTATATATTACTATATATCATTTGCGATATAAATCGTAAGCGACACAGAATAATTGAACAACTTTTTCATCATACGTTTATAGTACATACGTAAACATCTGTTATTTTATTTCCTGATTCATCTCATATTGTTTATTTGTTTATATTAATATTTAAATTATTAAATGAAACGATTACGTATCATGAATAAAAAGATAAATATAAATAAATTGTATTATATATGTATATTTATTGAAATAATTGAAGAACATTTTAAAGACTTATACCATATTGTTTTACTCAACGATCATGTTGCAAAAACGTGAAATGATATTGATATAAACCTGACGTCGTGCCACAGCAACCGGAATTTTGTAAACAGATGTGATATAGTGAAGAATTTCTCGCGTTGTAGATCCTTTGAGCTCGCGAAGGTTCTTGATCGCAGAGATCACTAAACTGAGGATCTTCCCAGTCAGATATGCCATGTTGATGAGATTCTGAATTAACAAGATTGGGAAAAGTAACTTTTCTTTCTTGTACCTTGTTAATTAAATAACCTGTAAATCATTCAAAATCAATTTGTGTGTATCCTATTTTAGGCTTTCATAAAATAATTGTATCAATAGCTCAATAATTTTTAATTTCAGTAAACATCAACTAATATTACATATACAGCGTTAATTTCCTATTTAAACTCTATATATCCAATTATACACTATTAAATTTATAATGTTAAATTATATTCAATTTTGTTTTTTAATCATTTCTATAGATCATCATTGTTTCTATCGATTATATATCGTTAATTTGACTACAACAATGGAGTTAAACAATTTAATTAAAGAAAATGTATTTATGATCAAATTTAATTTATTTTACACTAAACATTTACATCAAATGTAAATACATTAATATGAATGATATTTACTTTGAAACTAATCACAGAAATGAATTAATTTACATTTTGCAAACATAAAAGTCAAAAATAATAAAATGTTGTGTAACTCAAGAAATTATTATTTGATATTTCCAATGCATTTCTGATAATATATATTACATTACATTTGTATTGTTGGAAATTATATTAATATATAATAGGTTACTGGTTATGTTAACTGAGAGACAGATTAATTGAGGTTTATCGGGATATCTCTTGCCTATACGGGAGAGATGTGTGTCTAAAGAAAAAAATGAACGTGATAAGCAGCAAAGACGTGAATTTCATATGCATTAGTAGTATATCTACTAAATAAAAGTAATGACAGATGCTGTACTAGACACGAGGAAGATGTTTGAAGATGTTGCAATTCAATCGAGCGCTATCCTACCCTCGAGATAAGACCAATTCGAGATAGATTTAATGAGATGTCAGGTGATGTCAGATACATCGGCTGAGCGGTGGATGTAACGTCTTAGAGATCGGTCTGTGTCTTCTTGTCGAGGTCACGCGACGAGTTAGGATCGGAAAGAACGAAGACCGCGAACCCAGTCAAGGAACAATGCTGTCGTGGCGACGAAAGAAAGAGACACGGTCCGTGTGGCGAAGATTAATGACAAACGTATACCTATCTCTTGACAAGCTGAGAGACAAACGGCCCGTTTAATTAATGCGCCTCTCCTGTTCCATGAAATTCTTTTTACGGCAAAATTCACGGTAACCTTTGTACCATCTCTTGCTTCAGTATTCCGGTCTTATCGAAGAAACACGGCGAATTTGCAAGTCAGCTGATCTACCAAACGCGTCGCGTCAAAAAATTCAATCGATGAACAAACGTTTACAAATGAATGTCTAAAATGATGTTAGCTCTATGATGAATAACCATGGAGCTGAAATTAGTAAATAATGTTAGTTCTATTCCTTCCTATAATGGCATTATCAAATTTTATTTGATGTAGTATATTGTATGAACGTATAAATCTTCTTTTACAAAAGTAAATACTGGTTTACACTAACCTGGGTTGGATTAATGATGTATGTATGCTTTTCTATTAGTAGAGCATATAACGTCAACCAATAGTAGAGCATTAATCCAACCTAGTTCGATGCAAATACAGTCGAAAATGATATTAGTATATGTATAGACATAATATGAATAGATGGGCCGACATTCATAGTCAATTCTTATATTTGAAACTGTCTGAAGTATAGTCTAACATGTCATAAAGCCTTGTGTCCACGATGCTAGAAATCGGCATCGATTTCCTTCATCCGAGATCTCGGACCGATTTCATAAACCAATCAAAGGCCGGTATTTAAATACGTAGACATTGTACAGTCCGTTTTTATTTCAAGCTGTCTTAAATCATATTTTTAAATGCTAATATAACCCTTTTTGGCTGATATTCATAGTCGGATCTTATATTTGAAAGACATCTTAAGTACAGTCTTAAAATATCATGAGCAAATCAGACAGCCTTTTAGCATCTTAAGATATTACTTAAGACAGTCTTAAAATAAGAACAGACTATGAATACCGCGTCTATGGAGGCAATCCCTTATAGAAATTTAAGTAGATAAAAATGTTTTAACGGTTTATTTTTAATATTCAAAATAAGTGATTAATTAGCCAGCACTATTTTGTACGTAAAAATATTAATAAGTTATCAAAAAATTAATATAGTTTACGAATAAATATTTTATCTTACATATCATAATTTAATAGAATAAAATATAAAAGTACTTTATAAACTATAAATTTTTCAATATTTCTACTTTAGTATTTCTATGTATACGCAAAATAATTTAAAAATTATGTAAAAAAATGTGTAATTCTATTTAAAAAGTTATATATGTATAATTCTCTCTACTTATAAATAGAATATTACATTTTACCAAGCAGTCTATATTTATTTCAACCTTCCGATTAAATCAATATTAAAACCATGTGTTAACGTCTTATAAATATATTTTTATCGTACATTTTATGTATTAGTAGATTACCTAATTCATTTATGTATTATCTTTACACATAAATCTTTGAACTTTTGAACTCTCCGCGAATTTTGTATCCTCTCTCGAATCCGCAAGTAGTTATACCTAATTAACCCAATCAACATACACTTTTAATATTTTATTTACAAATTTCGTTAATATTGATGTCTACATATTAATATACCGATTTTTATTTTCACAGATCGCGATATTTCATGTTGTGCAAGGACCATTTGTCGAAGAATTTATGCAATGTGTGACGCACGGCTTTTACACCGAGCGATGGCAAGAACAACTCTACGCAAGTTTCAGTCTATTCTTCATGTTTCTTCTACCATTAGCAATTTTAATTACTACATATGTATCCACAGTAATGACTATTTCCCGTAAGTATTTCTGCATTATACATAGAAAATTATAATTGCGATAGAACGTACGATGTGTGTGAAATATTGATCCATTACTTTTTACTGTAAGGGCTACGCAGAATAAAAGGAACAGAGAATAAGAATTTCAACGTATCAGAAATCATGTACTATGGAATACATACTGTTTATTCCACAGTATATGATTTCTGATAGGTTGAAATTCTTATTCTCTGTTTTCTGTTCCCTGTTCCTTTTATTCTGCACATGTCCCTAACTTTTCGGTAAATCTTGTATATAATCTTATTACAAGGTGGTACTTAAATACATATTTTAAAAGATTTTAAATGGTAACTTTTCATGTTAATTCAGGACGAAAACTTGATATAACGAACTGTCCAAAACGACTTAGTTTTAAAAGTACAGGATATTAAAGGAAAAATTTTGTTTTCCTACAAATTTCGAAAACTACTCGAATTATTTTGATGAAATATACTTTATGTATATCCAGAACGGATCATTTCAGCGATGTTGCAATGTTACTGCAATATTAGTGAAATACCTACTCTCTGTGTGCTATATGTTTTAAAGACATAAAGATCAGTATTCATAATCGATTCTTATAATATATTCAAGATCATCTTAAGATATCACGGACCAATCAGAAGGCCATAATATAGCATCTTACGACGTTACTTAAGATGGTTTTGAAATAAAAACGAACCATAAAAACTCCTCTTTTGGGGTCATACAAAGAAATGAATTTTTTCCTTCAACAGGAAGTAAGAGAAATTTCAAAATGGATCAAATAAAGACCTACAAAAACATCGACTTAAATAGGAAAAGACTGATGAATCGGGCGAAAACGAAATCACTGCGAATCAGCGTCGTCATCGTAGCGGCATTTCTAATTTGGTGGACACCGTATTACACGATGATGATAATTCTCTTGTTTATCAATCCGGATGATCACGTTAGTGTATTTTGATAGTAACAACAGAAGGATTAGATTAGGCTATATTGAAAAGTTAACATTGTGTGCTAACAAACGAATGCCTTTCAGCTCAGCGCGGAGCTGCAGAACGGAATATTTTTCTTCGGTATGAGCAACAGCTTGGTAAATCCTTTGATATATGGCGCGTTTCATCTTTGGCCGCAGAGACAACGGCAGGACTCTTATCATAGGTGAATAGAATTTACGAGACCGTTCGATGTGCCGTATCTCGGAAAATCCCTTTCGCGTTCTGCTCCAATGTGTAACTCGCAGTATGCGAGTTACGAAACTACGAGAACGTACACGTGTCGCAGTGCGATGAAGTTTTTTGTACGATTAAACTCCGTACAAACATTCATACGAAAAATTTATGCGAAGAGATAATATTCTAATTGAGAAAAAATCTCGATAGCTTGTTTCTAATTATTGATATTAACATCAGTTACAGATCTGAAGCTTCAATGAATCAACGAAACAACATGAAGAGACGCGACACGACAATACCACTTCTCTAGCTCTTATCAAGATAGTAACGGTAAAGTAATTGCAGCCACACAGCAGCAACAAATATAACTTTTTTTTTATCAAATTAAATTATGTATGTCTTATACGTAAAAGTAACGAACATACGTTGTGTAACAAGACAGCGTAAAAAGATGAAATAGTATATAAAAAATAAAAGACAAGAAAAAGTGCCACTTTTATCCTCTATATCGAGTATCATCTTTTAGTTAAGGATTTTTACAAAAAATTTATTTTATTTATTTATAAAAAGAAAAATATTTTAAGTATTTATAGTGTAAGTAGAGTTAAATATTTTAATTTTATGTATTACAAAAAAGAAAATATAAATCTATGAAAATTTACGTCGATCTTTTAAATTGAAGCGTAAAAATATTTGATGTATGTACATATCTGTTAATTTAGATCTAATTCAGATATAAAAATGTTGTTATATTTATAATTAATGAGTATATATCATACATATACTTCAAAATAGAAATGTAACAAATTTATTATATATTATTTAGTAATAATGTTATAAATAAAATTTTTTTAATAATGTTATATAATAAAATTGTATTTTTACTAATTTCATGTACACTTTGTTTATCGATAGCAATGTGCAAAAGAGAACCCAGATAACCAAACGTTTGTAGGCGTAAGAGTAGAATAATTGCTTGGTACAAATTTCCCTTTAATTACCATCATATTGTCACAGGGACAATAGTAATTTTATTCAGGTACACTAAAGGCATTATACAGACAACAGTCCCCTGCACGCAAACAAGTGGAAATACTGTAGCATAATTGCTATAGAAGTTACCACAATCTGTTGGAATCCGTTTTCATAAAATATAATTTGTAGTCAACATTTCCGTCAATTGAATGGAAATACTGAAAAAAAAATTTTGGTTGTATATCAACGAGAAGTGCAAACAAAACAAATTTTGATCATATAAATCAATTTTCTGGTTATTGTATAACGTTTAACTGAATTTCTGGTTACTTTGATTAGAGAATGTTTAATAACTTTAAGTATATAGTGTATCTTTCTAATTGAATTTATCAGAATTCCAATTAATTTAACAAGATTTTTTTCTATAATGTGAACTAAATATTTTGGATCCAATATTGTGCAGACAACTTCTATAACAATAAGTCTACTACCGCATTTCCGCTCGTTTACATAAGCAACTATTGTCCGTATAATGCCTTTAGGCCGCCTAACGAAATTACTATTGTCCCGGTGACAGCAACGTGATGGCAACTGAAGGGAAACTTATATCAAGCAACTACATATATTTCCTTTTTTATGCCAAAGAATGTTTGACTATCTTGAAATTGAATATTAGGATACATTATCTCAACTAAATATTCCTGAAATATTCATAAAAATATATGTTCTTGAAATCCTAAAATAACATTCCAAGAATAATTTGAAATATTTGCAGAATGTGAAAGCAGCATTCAAATAATATGATCATTAAATATTCAATTCATGCATTGTTACATATTCGAAGAATGTTTTATATATTATACCATATATAAATATAACATATATATATTCGGCAAATTTATAATTTTATATTTTCCTAGAAGTTCTAGGTATCTGTGGTAGTCCCCAAACTAATTTATAAACAAAATCATACTGTCAAAAACACATTTAATTCATTACCTTTCCTTGAAATCCAATTTAGAAGATTCACTTCATTATGTTCAATAATGCTTCACAAACAAAAAGTACTGCATTTTTTATATTTTTTCACATGTAATTCTTATTTGTATATACTGCTCGCAGGTAAGTGAATTTCATAGTATATACAAAAAGAGAGAGTGTTTATACAATATATTCTATTATAAATATTAATAGTTAAGCAAAGATAAAGGACGATAAGAGGCAAATCATAAAATGAAAATAATAAAGCGGTTATAACATTAAATATGTAATAAAAATTTTTTTGAATACATCGATCTACTTAAACTAAAACAAATATACTTATAGCCGCTTGTAACATAAATTTGCTAAACAATTGAAATGTCGCAACTAGTTTCGACTCTTGGATCGAGTCATCTTCAGACATCCAAAAAAACCTTCCGTTCGTACATATAGTTAAATTAAATAAAATACTAACTCCTAGCGATTTCTCCATTTACTACGTGATATTGGCAGTACACAGTAGGAAAATCGTATACTAAACCAATATATCTGTAATTTTAACATAAAGTTGAGAAGAATTCATCGAAAAACTTTGTCAGATTTTATAAAAAATGTTTAACTCACCAACGAGATCATATAAAAATTTGTTTTAATTTAGATAATCGATTCGTCAGCTTACAACACAAAAATTATTTTGTCAAAAGAAAAGTAGTCATAAATTAAAATAAAAATAAAAGTAAAATACATGTTCACGGAAACTTTATGTAATATTAAATAACGAGCGTAGTGTGATAATTGCGCAAATATTGTGACAGTTCACACTAGACTGACAATGAGCGAGATGATAAGTTGTCGGTAATTCGGTATCGAAAGATCAAACTCTATTTACAATAGGAATATAAGCTTTATGAAACGTAGCCGCCCCGAACAAAAACTTTACTGCCTATACACCCCTCTGTCCACATGGGTTTTGATTTATTTGGAATAGAACTACGTATAATAAAAACATTGCACTAGTAACTAATTCATTTTTTTAATTGATTTTAAATTTCGTGCACTCTATTGTATGGAAACGCATGCGCAAGAGATCACAGGCCGGTATTCAAGTCGGTTCTTATTTTCAGATTGTCTTAAGTAATGTCTTAAGATGCTAATGCAGCTGTCTAATTGGTTCGTGATACCTCAAAATTGAACTTAAGACGGTCTTGAATATAAGAACTGACTATGAAGAATACCGGCGACCGGCTACAGAACATGAAGGCCATGAAGCAGCATGAAAAAAGCATATTCATAGCGCTACATGTGGTCGGTATGACAGATTTCCTAACCTCAACAACTTTAACACTTAATATCTCAGTTCGGAGAGCAGAACGACATTTTTTATTCCCAGATTCGTTCGTTTCGTGCAAAACCGCATCGAATGAGTGTATTTTTATCAAAATTTGAACGAAGCGGGGTATTCTATACCTTTACCACATTAAAACGGCTGAGACGCAAAAGCTGAAACAATCGAAATGAAAGGCAGCACAAAGAACACGTCCTATGGCGCGAATGAATGGGAAGATATGCCATTAATTAATAAAAAGGTTAATTTTGATTGTTATATTATATGTAATTCATTCTTTTTTTGTAAAAACTATTTTATATTTTAGAAACTGCTGGAACTATGTATCAAATTAATACATAAAGTACCACCACAACATAAAATAGAGCTTTCTGGGTCTCATGCACCAACAAAGGAAGAGAAAATATTATTCCAGAAACATGGACCAATTCGAAAAGGTTCATTTACACCTATGGAAGATAAAATTATCAGGAAAAACTGGAAGACATTCTGCAAGGTATATTTTAAGTATTTAAAATAAATAATAAATGAATGATCTGTAATGTTTGAGGTAGTCTTATGTTTAATGAAAAAATACCAATTGTTTGGTACTTATGTACTATATTTAAAATAATAACTGTCTTTGTTTTAACTGATACCTAGAAACTTCCTTCTAATGTTCTTCAGAATCCCCAAATTTTTGAGAGTGAAAATATTCAAAATGCGAGATACTACAATGTCATAGAATGGTATAATTACATTATTAATATATTTTTCCATATAATGTGTAATATACAGCTCCATGACTGGGATCTAAAGAATCCGAAGCCATTTCTTTGTTGGAGACACGATGGTAGATATTATTATATAAATGACATAAAAGAAAGACAAAAATTTGTTCAATTTTTGGCAAATGGATTACCTTGGCGAACTCTGTACAGTGTTTATACTAGATTTAAAGTATTACATCGTGATAAAATCGTTTACACTCGGTAAAATACAAAAATCTCAAATTAGACTTGAATTGATTTTAAATCATTTTAATTTTTGTATTTACATATGATTTTTATGCTGCAGATATACTACTAAGGAAGATAAAAAAATTTTAAAATATATAAAGAATGAACATCTTGATAAACGTCTTACTAAATATAGTGAATTAGCAAAATTACTAAGACGGACTGGGCCGTCGATCTTTAAACGATACCAATATCTCAAAAATAAAACTCTAGATAAATCAGAAATGGAATGTAAGTAATTTTCATATCAGTCCTTTCCATTTCAAAAGTAACACAATTTAAAAATTAATTTATATTTTATATTTTCCTAAAAGAGGGAAAAACTTTATTAACTTGACAGAAAATTATTAAACTAAATACCGATGAGAATAAATCATTTACAGTCAAGCTGGATCTTGGATGCTTCTAATATAATTTTGTGTGAATTTATATACTATGTAGAGCTTTAAATGCGCGTCGAAATTTTTTTCAAACTTACAATGCAAACTAATGAACTATCGCAGTACTATTAAGAGTTAAATTGACTAACAATCTAACAATTTTTTATGCTTATTTCATCTTGGATCTTAATAATACGTTGAATGATATGTTAAAATCTATGAATGGCACATTAAAAATCTGTAAATAATTTATTTACATTGCGAAAAATATTACTTCGGTCGGGAGTCGAACCCGGATCGTCTGCTTTACGTGCAAGCAATATTCACTGTGATGAGAGAAGAAAATATTTCTTTAACACATTTATAGTGATAATTTGAAGATCATTTTTTGAGTTATATCACTTTTGAAATATATACATACATATATATATATATATATATATAAGCAAAATATTCTTTCACCATTAAACATTGTAACATATTTCTAGATGCTTAGTTCTCATCAAATCTGTTTAATTACAGCATTAGTTAATGTTGAATGGACGTTACCACTGATCAAGAAATTTATAAAAATGTTACTTGATGTAACAATAAGTGAAGATATAAAAGAACTCAAAGATGCCACACTTCCTAAACCAGTGTGGCAGACAATGGAGAAAAAACTTAACATACACCAGAATGTCTTAAGAACATTTTGGCAACATCAATTACATCTACAATTATTCAGCACGGGTCCTATTTATTTAAACGACATTAAAATACAATTAATTGAATAGTAAATATCATTACGTTCTATAACTGTATTGTAGTGCAACACATGTATCGAGTATTTAGATTGGATTAGATCGCAAATATACATATATATATATATATATATACATATCGTTAGATCGTACTATATACAAACGCATATACTTATTTTTGCAGTATGTATACAAAAGGAATATCTAATATTCGCGAAATTATATGGTACAATGTTGCAAAATACTTCGACGGAGCAACTGCGATATTTCTTTGCAGAACCTTTTTTTATCTTGTTCAAGAATGCAATCTAACCGATAAGGATAATTTCGCCGGTAATGAAATATCTAAATTATATTTGTAAATATGTATAAATTATATTGGTATGTGTTACATGTCAATTTTTGTGTTACAGATGTTGTGGAATATTTATATCATTCTAAAATTCCTAAAATTCGAAATTCATACATCGATAAATTCTTACCTAGAATTATCTATAAAAATGGAAAAATTTTTTTACTAAATATGGAAACTGGTGAAAAAATTACGGCCGATGATTCTCAAAAAATTGATCACGATATTGATTCTACCGATAGTTAATTTGAATAAAAAAAAGTATCTATTATAACTCTATCTTTTTAAATCTGAATTATACAATATATAATTTTATCATGTACACTTCAAATAGGTAATGTCATATTAATACAAACATAACACTGTATTACTCTAAATGTATTATTTAAAATTAATTTTATAGGAAAAACTTTATTACGAGCAAAAATGTTTTATTTTTAAAAAAGATTGATACAATAAATTCTTTTCATCTCTCGGCTATAGTATACAAATCAAATGAATACCAAATATATTAAACAATTTAAATTAACCTCTCTCTTGGTTTTGTTTAAACTTTATTTTTCTTCGACTCCTTTTCAAGTACTTTCTCTTTTGCTTTTTGATACATAGGCACAAGTTTGCCTTCTTTAGCAAGACTCTTCAAAAGTTCCATAATAAGTGGTAAATAATTATGCTTTCTTCTGATGTTCTCTATTTGATATCTCTTTGATTTTTTAATTTCTTCCTCAATTAGGGCTTGCAGACGTTCTAATTCTTCAGGATCACAAACATTGGCCTTCTGCCTTTCATATAAAGTTTTTCTGTCTGTCACTATAGCCATTAAATTGAAATGAATCTCGCCTTCGTTATATCTGTTTAATAATAATAACTGTTATTTTTATACTTGATAAGTAGTATAATATCAAAATGTATATACACATACATATGTACATACATAAAGTTATTGAGAAAGCTACATTTTATAACATACTTGTTTATCCGTTTTTGAATTATAGGTTGCGCAGCTTGTACCCATTGTTTCCCTGCTGAACATGGACCCAGATCAATTGGCCCATCTTTCAATCCATCTAATTCGTATAAACGACCATCAATCGGAACATAACTCACAAAATGAAACACATCATCATCTTTAGATGCTTGTTTCGAGTCGTATTCAAATAATGTTTGTCTAAAATTTTAGCATACAATAAATTCTTTACATGAACAATATTGAGTGATTAAAAAATATATAGTAATATAAAATACCTGGAAAAGGAATTATGCACTTCCCTTATAACATCAGAATTACTAAGTGCAAGTCCACGCATATTTGCATCAAAGCTTTGACAGAAATTTTTAAATTCTTCTAAGTTTGGTCCAAGAGATATATCTGCATGCTTACAGTTTAATAAAACACTCAATATTGCTTGAGTTGCACAAGCATTATTTATTACCTAAATTAAATATAATCTTTTTTTATACACATTAAAAATTTTTTTTTAATTAAACAAATCTACATGAATCAATATCTTTTAATTATCTCATAAAATATATATTCAATAAAATACCACTATGTACCAAATATTTCAACATATTCTAATTAATTCTTTCACATTTTTATAATATAACAAAATTAATTAATAATTATTCTTAATTTGCTATTAGTGATTTAATTCATGATCCAAGTTTCTATTTCCAAGTTAGCAGTATATCTATTTTAAGATATCTATTTTATACTTTATGTACTTGTTTTGCAAAGAATATTTTGTCCAATCTATTATCTTGTACGATATTCCCTGATAATTCATCATCTTGTACCCATTTGAATAAAAAGATTAAACCGTGAATGGGCCTAAAAGAAACAGAATTTATCAATAAATTGAAAAAATTATATATAAAGATTAACCTACAATGATATTAATATCTAAATGAGTGCTATACATTTTATTTCTTTTTATATTTATGTATATTTTTTTATCTTATATATCTAAAAGAAATATAGTGCATATGAAAACATTCTAAAGAAAAAAATAGGAAAAACAAACATGTCAAAAGATTAGTTATCAAGAATACATCTTATCTTACACACATACATATATAAATGTCATTCAAATAATACAAAAATTACAATGTCAATGTTACACAAAATAAACTTACATCAATTCATTGAAGTATTTATCTTCCAAACTCCATAATTCTTCCACTTGTGCACCTTTGACTCCTATACAAATGCAGCAATATATAATTATGATATAACATATTACAATTAAAAAAATTTTTTTAATATTGCAAACTGTAAGATTTGATAATCACAAGTTAGAAATATCAAATTATTATAAATATTTATAGATATTTATTTATAACTTGATTAAAAAATAATCATGAATTTGATTTTGTATATATATATATATATATACATATAAATGTATATATATATATATATATATATATATACAGGAAGTTCCCAGGTTAAACCGTCAAACTTAAAATATGAATTCAGAACCTGAAAACAAACAAAAATTTTTCTCTGGATGTATGCTTGCAAATGCTTTGTTCAAGAAATATTTATTTTTGAAGTTACAGAACAGTAAGAACGGATAATGTTGAAATAAGGTTTATCCTCTTTATTGTTTTACAATAATCAAAATTTAATTATTAAATGTTTTGTTCAAAATAATGACCTCTAGCCCAGAAACAAGAATTACATCTATCGATAAGAGAACGACTGACTGACATTATGTGTCTGTAATTCTTTCACATGCTTGCACAATTCTTTGTTTTAATAAATCTAATGTTAAATCCACAGACACAATGTTAGTTAGCTACTTGTTCTCTCATCGATAGATGTAATGCTTATCTCCAAGCTGAAGGTCACCATTTTGAACAAAACATTTAATAATTAAATTTTGATTATTGTAAAGCAATAATAAAGAGGATTGACCATATTTCGACGTTATTCATTCTTACAGTTCTGTAATTTCAGAAGTAAATATTTCTTGAACAAAGCATTTGTGAGCATACATCCAGAGAAAAAAGTTTTTTGTTTCTGGTCTTGAATTTATATTTTAAGTTTGGCAGTTTAACCCAGGAACATCCTGTATACAAATATGTGTATGCTAGTATATGTATGTATGTATATGTATGTATGTGTCTGTGTGTATGCATAAGTATATGACTTTTGTAGTGTACGTGTATATATGTATTTTATATACCTATGTATGTGTGAATATATAGTTCTTACTAGCTTTTACACATAATAAAAGCTTCCTTAGAACTTTGCCCAATTTAAATAACACTAAAAATAGTGCAAGTAAATAATGCATTATAAGTACAGACAATAAAAATTAGGAAATACTTGCCGAATTCTTTAATCAATTCCGTGAAAACACCAGGATCACTCTCAATGAGACACCAATTTCCTGCCGAGTCCGCCATATTTATACACTATCAATACTATCATAAACGTGTTCCGTAGAAAATAAGTAGAGAGTGCGTAAGATATTCTCACGAACTGCCGAACTGCTGCACCACTCAGTGGCAAATTCCGCAACCTTCTGAAAATGTGTGGGTGTCTGTAGTCTGTACCATTTTCGGACGCTTCTCTGTAATAAGAAATATTTGATATTTTAAAATTATGATGTTCCTAAACACGATGTCATTTTTATCATAATGTTTTTGAATATTTTAAAGTTTTAAGAACATGTTTCAAAAGAGTTTGGCGAATTCTTTTCTTGATTTGCAACAACCCTGGTATTAATTATCGACGATCGGTGATGGTCGATCGATATAAAATGATATTTACATTTTCTACTCATAATTTTTGCTTGAAATAATTTAATATACAAATTTGGTCGCAAGATTGTACGAATACTTACGTGACGAAAAACGTTCAAAGATTTTCATTGTCAGAGCTGAATGCGAGGAAAATCACGATCACACCGTCGCGTACACAATGACAATATACTGCTATATACACGAGTTACGAGCCGACATACGGGGTGGTGATTCGTTTTGACGCCGCATGTCAAATCGTGGTAATAGTGTGTAATAAATAAGTTATTGCTAGTTATTGCAATTTATTTTTCCCTTGTCCGATTTTCTTTATTTACATCGATATCGACTCAGGTATGTAGATGTTTGGTACAAGTCTTCCAGTAACGTCGCACTGCTTTTAACCTAATATAACCAGTAACTTTGAAGTTGAGTTTGTTTTTTCAATAATGTTAGAAACTGACGGTTATTGTGCTTCTGCTTCTGCGTTTAAATGTATTTATTTTTATTTCTTAACATATTACATATTCGTTAACATTATTCTTAAATTTTTTAAAGAATTAACTTTATATTAACACTCATATTATTTTATATTAATATATATAAACAATATTTCTGTGATTTTATTAATTATTACAATTTTCATCCTTGTTAATTGCAATATGTTACTACTGGTTCCAAAAAATTATACATTATCAAATAATGAGTAACATGTATGTTGATTCAGTTGTAGCAATTGTATTTCTAATATAACATTTATGACACATGTAAATTTTACTTTTATGATATTGTAATTAAGATCATGCTGTAAAAAGACTTTATGTTATGATTGAGATATAATTTGTGTTATGATAGTTATGGAAACTTACAGCTTGATTGTTATATTTCAGTTTTAAACAAGATGTCTGAACAGTTTTTGGGTTGTACAGTCTCGGTGAAGTGTATCGATGATCTTGCTTACCAAGGTAAAATTATTGATCTAAATAAGAATAGTCTGACTCTGGCGAAAGCATTTTGTAATGGCATACCTCATACTTCTGTTGTTAATTTGAGGTAAGATCATTGGCTTGATTAATTTTTATAATTATTAATATATGAACTATAAGAAATATTTAAAAAAATCTTATGTGTGTGTATAATTTAAATAAATTTATTAAATCAATATAAGATGCTAAAAGCATCAAATAATTATTAAATTGTTAATCAATTTAATTTGTGATAGTACTGCAATATTTATTAGTGTTGCGTTTCAAGATCGACAATTATTTGGCACGCAGTTAAATTATATATAAGCAATTAAGATCCATCTAGACTGTTATAGATTTCAATTCTTATTAGTTATGTTGTTAAATAAATTTGTTTAATTTAATTAAATTTAAATAATTTTAAATAAATGAATAAATTGGTATATTATACATTGTTTATTTTATTGCATATAAGCCATAACTTTTAAACTGGTTTTATTACAATTGTTATTTTTACAAAAGAGGATAGTATAAAATCCATTTCTTCTCTCCCCCAAATTCCGTTCCATAGGACAAGGTTATTTTTAAACTTGCTTGTTTAGAGGCTTCTGTCCTTCAAGACATAACACAATATAGTGATTTGTTTACTTTTATAGAATGTAATATTCTTACACTTTTAAAATTCGTAGTATATATGAGAAATGTAATTTAAGAATCAAACTGATTTTTTTACAAGCAGCTAACATTAAGTTATTCAACATCTCAAATAATACATGAATATATGTATTAATTATGTTTATTATAGTGTAAAGGATATACAGAATCTTGAAATTATATCAACGGAAGAAGCAGGAAATGTTAATGATACACATAGTAAGGTAATTGTGAAGAGACCAATTGCAAAAAGGGCTGGACGGTCTTTTTCAGAGTGCATTCCAAATGTAACAGTGCAAGCAGGAAGTTCTCAATCACATACAAATTTCAAAAAACCTGCAGAGCCTAACCAGCAACAAGTGGAGCAAACTTCTAATGGGAAAATACCTTCAAGTACATATAATTTATATATTAACACTTGACATATATTGTATTAATATAACAATGTTGCAGCTGAAAATAATGCATCTAATAATAAATCAGTCTCAAAAAAATTAACTCATCGACAAAGAGCATTGGAAAGAGATGAGCATACCTTTGGTACTCCAATTGATCGAGAATTAGAGCAAGACTTCGATTTTGAAAAGAACTTAGCATTGTTTAACAAAGAGGTAGGATTTTATCGTTTTTTAAACATTATTTCACAATTAACACAGGAAGAAAATTTAATAATATATTGTTTGTAATGTTATACTTGACTATTATTATGATTTATCTATTGTAGGCTGTGTGGCAAGAAATAAATTCTTTGAAGCCGGACATTATTAGACAGTCAGAAAACAATCGGGGTACTACTGCTATTTACCGACCCGACGAGAATATTCTTGTATCGGAGCCTACAGTACTTAGACAGATTATGGTACCTTGCCGTGGTGAAAAAGAATATGTTACAGATAATGGTTTAGTAATTCCTAGCATCCCTCTCAGTTTACATCGGCAATTAATAGGTGCAGCAGATAGATTGGGAATCAGTTGGGAACGCAGGGTTCGTATATTGATATTACCTATACCCATTTCTTTGTTTAATATGAAGTGAAAAGTAAGAAAGAAAAAAAGGAGAAATAATAAAGTAAGATTTAACTTTATGAGATATTTACATTTAAATAAATATATTGATGGAACATTATTCTGATTGCTAAATAATTAAAGTCAAAAATTAAGTAATTAAATAAAGGATAAAAAAGAAATAAAATTAAATAAGTTCAACAATTAAATAAAAGGATTTTCAAGAGATATGACTTATCATTACATTTTTACTTGTTCGTGCATATATACATCTAAACTCTTTATTCCATTTTTTAAATTTTATTTTATTTTAATTGTATATAATTTTATTTTCTTTGATAGGTGGAATTGCTCGGTCGCGCCGGTGCTGAACTTACCTTACAGTTATTGGGTGGAAGTCATCGGTTGAATCCGAATAATGCGCATCAATGGCCCACCGTGGTCGTGCTGTGTGGACCGCATCGTTCCGGCGCTGCAGGAATCAACTGTGCTCGACAACTGGCCGCTCACGGTGTTACAACGATCGTATTCGTGGAGAATGCAGAGGACGTATTTCTTCTACAAGAGTTGTCACTATACAGGTTAACAGAGAATAAGGTAGAAACCAAAGTCAAGAATCTGCCATCATTGGTGGATCTGATACTTGTAGCCCTCTGCGATGAAGATTCGCCCAGATTGATCACTCCGATAGCGAGGTGGGCAAACAGTAATCGGGCGCCAGTGTTATCTATCGAACCACCGGCGACGGGTACACCAGGCATACTCAGTAAATTCAGCCTGTTAGGTGCCCTACCGCTATCACACAGCATCGACAACGGCAGATTATATTTGTGCAACCTCGCATTGCCAAACAAAGTGTACTCTGACGTTGGCATTAAGTTTAGATCGCCATTTGGACCTAAATTTGTAATTCCTCTACATTCCAATAACTCTTAGCAAATTTTTAAGGATCACATTGTGTCTTTTTGAATAGTTGCCTTCGTTTTATCATACGCGATTTGTAAACCTCGTGTACAGGGAAATATATTTTACTTCCGGGGCTCATTGAGTAAAAAGAGTTTATGTATAGTTTGGCGTTTGATATAAACTTTTAGATAAATTTTTAGAGAGAGAGAGAGAGAGAGAGAGAAAGAGAGAAGAGAGAGACAGAGACAGAGACAACACATGGTGTATCATAATACTTTTCACATTAAGGCTCCTGAGTACTCGACCAAGAACTCCGTGCTGATGGTAGCGACACCGAATTAGTTGGCGGCCTGACAAAACTAATAATTACACACACACACACACACACACACACATAAGTACGAGTTCATGTACTCATTTTTGGACTGAAGGCGAGCACACAGCATGGGCTCATGCTTGTATGTGTGTATAACGTCTCGCCACTGTAAAAGGCTGAATTAATAGGCGTGAAACAATGACGTTTTGACAAAATTTTTGTTGCGTGCCATTTCGTTAATATTTACTTATTTGTGAAAATGTGACCTGCCTCGTACTCGTAAAGTCCCAAAAATAGGCAGAAACTACAGTTATTTTAAAATTTTATACGTAAAAGCGTATGTTCACTCGTTTCATTCAACTCGCTGTTAAACTGTGTGTTTTTTGCCCGAGTATAGGCTCACTTTACGTGCTCTTTACGACCATTTACTGACTATTAAAATAGAAAAGGACAGTTTCCGTCCATTTTTACAAGTGTTTTTAAGCGATCTTGTCATTTACATTTATCCAAATTGTCTTTATTTACAAATAGCACGCAACAAAAATTAATGTGCATTTCTCGCCTACGACGTCACAATTTCAACATTGCCACAACCACTCAGGAGCCTTAAGCCTTAAACACAATAGGCAATAGGAACAGAGAATAAGAGCTGTCCAATCAGAGCTCAAAATTCTGCATCCAAGCTGTCTTCGTCTTCAAAAGTGCTAGTATCCTCCATCGAATTCAAATCGTTAAATTTCCTTTTTTGGCAGTATTCGTGATTAAATATCATATTTCCTTTGAACTAAACTTTTGCCAAAACTATATTCGCGAATAAAAATGTATAAATCTCAAAACAGTAGATAAACAACAGGCAACGAAAATCCAACACGTCGAAAAACTGTTCTTATTACCTATTCCACGTGTGTGTCCCATGCACGTTTGTAGTGATAAGTTTGTATTAATATGGATTATGTATCGCATTTATATCCTGGAGCTCTGATTGGACAGCTCTTATTTTCTGTTCCCTGTTCCTATTGCCTATTGTGTTTAAGGCTTTAATTGCATGATCCATGGATGAATGCACAATGCATACTGTTATATTTCCGATATTGTAACTTTGAAAGCTATTTTAAAGTCTTGATTGAACATTATACACACACTATATAGATAAAATATACATATTTTGTCCGTAAAATTGTGAAAATATCGTTTTATGAATAGAAAATATAAAATAGAATTAATGCTCCAAATATCAACAATATACTTCTCCAAAGTAAAAGGTACATAGATTCTTTTATGGATACAAATATGTATGTCGCAGCATGATTTTGCATCAAAGCACATGAGTATATCAAGTATTTGATATGACTAAATAAAAGCTAATTACTTGACGTGGATGTTGCACTACACATGTTTATATCTACAAAATTTATATTAATGAGTAAGAAAAGGTATATAAAAATTATTGTCATAATTAGAAATGGTCGTGTTTTGAGATTAATAAATAATCAAATGATGAAAATCCTATAAATATATTAGAGCCATGTAAGGAAATATTTGTTTGGCATGATATAAATTTATAACTGATAAACTAATATCAAGGATATTAAATTGATGGCTTGCACATACAAAAGAAAACAGTCTTTTATATATTTTTAATAATTTGTAACGTACTATTTATGTCATTCATTTATGTCAATCATTAAAAACCTGCCCGTGAGATATGCAGTTACATAGCATTTCTATTCAATTAATTAGTTGATTGACAACAGTTTTATACTCGTACACATCTACATTTATTAATTTGTTCAGTAAGCTCTACTTGCTCATAATTACCGAGTATTATATTTCATTTTATTTTATGTTCGTCATTTTATGTTCAGATATAGAAATTATAATAGCGAAATGTATAGACATATTGAAATTATTAAAACGCACATGCAAGACATCTCCCGCATTATATAAAGTATATAAAAACTTGAATATTCCTTTTTGTACTGATTTCTTTTAATGTTTATATTTATAATAAAGTAGAATGTGCTTTCGACGATTACGAATTTAGTCATTGTAAATCTAGAAATATGGACAATATAATAATTTCTCGTAAATCCGGTGTATGAAATTGATATAAAATAATCCTGCACTTCATATCTATTTTTTAATGAATTAAATTCTATTTTACGCAATTTAACATTTTAAATAATTTATTTGGAAATATACATTTATTATGTAAGATACATTTGATAATAATAATTAAAATAAATAATAATTATAGCTATTATTTATGTTAATAATTAATATTAATTATTAACATTTAATAATTGAGCTTTTAAATTAATAATTATGCATTAGTTAAGAGATAATTGTTTTAAACAATTGATAATTGTACATTGGCAAAACAGATGTTTAATTCATAATTTGCAAATTATATAAATTTTATTGTCCATATTAACTGTACATTCGAAAGAAATATATTACATATTTATTATCATGAATGTATACTTTCTTTATCTCAATAATTTCTTTCAATAATTTAGAAATAGGAAGTAATTTATAAAAAATTGAACAAATAAAATTTTATAAACAATATATGGATAATACATTGGATTTCTACATTGATAGTTTAATTATATCTGTTGATGATCTATACAGAGCAATTATATATGATTTAAACTAATATTTTATAGAAAGATGCATAGTCATTAAATTATTCAATATTAATGATACATTAAATAAGTTATAAAAAACGCAAGGTAATAAAATTATTCTATATGATTGAACAAATGAATTGTTGACAAGAAAAGGAATTAATAAAAAATATTAATATAGATATAAAATAGTTTCTGTAATTTTTACTTATAACATCACTTGAACATACATATTTCTGTAAACGCTTTACAGTCTATAGAAATTTACAGCGCCGTCACATGTTAAAAATACATGATTTTACCGCTGTCGTACAAAGAATTGCAATTACGTAAATAATGAAGTGATAATGGTATGAAAGTTGAGACTTGTGTGCGTGTGCGTGTGTGTGTGTTTGCAATTATTGTCAATTTTTGTAAATACAGATCAACAAACCTTTGATGTGTTACAAAAATATCTTGCTACTGAATTCATTATAATATTTAAATTGAATTAGCGCATAAGCATTTTCCATTTCATTATTCATAATCAAAGTGAATTAATTGATTAATATAGAACACGAGAAACTGTGTATGCTCTATATAATTAACAACTATATTATCCATACACAATATATTTCAATCTCTGGAATTTCTGAATAATTCTCTCTTTATATAAATTCTATACGAATACATTTTTCACGTTTGTAGACTTAATCATTTTAGATATGCTCTAAAAATAACTGTTTTTAAAATATATATTAAGTAATTTGTATATACTCCTGTCGCGATAATATATTATATCTTAATGATATTTCTCTCTAACATTCTAGAATGTATTTGAAATAATTTATGATCTTTATTCGAAATATTGAAATTATAGGCACATGGAACTCTTCTCATTTTTATGTTTGATTTACCAGCCATTAATTGCATTGTAGAAGACGCGCTATCTTTATAATACTAAAAATACACAGACTAATATTTCATTTTTATGATTTCTACGCAATTATAGATACAAGCGTCTTAAATATTTAAGAAGAAATATATACAATTTCTATATATCCATCTATTTTTTGTTTGATGTAGTATTGATACCATTTCAATGTTATAAATATGGTAAATATTTATCATATTTATAACATTCGATCGCTTCCGGCTAAAATATACTTTATGGCATTCGTGACTTAAATAAAAAACAGATTCAAATCACTTATGTACTCAGCCTCAAGCATATCGTTATAATTACTTATAAATCTTAAAAACAGACCGCAAATATATGTGAATATAATTAAAGATATATATCGAACATATTATTAGGTATATAGAACACAAATAATCCAATTTCTAATGTCTAAATTACATACTTGATTACACCAGTGGTAAAAATAGGATTAAAAAATCTTACTGAATCAATAATAATAAGATAATAATTATGAAAATTTAATACATATATTTAAAACAGGCTAGACGGGCAGCGGATGATTATGTGAAGGATTATAATTATACATAATATAATCATAAATTCGATGATATAAATAAAAATGCACATCTAATTATCCAATGACAACAAATAATTTTTATAGAAGATAAGATATGAGCAACTATTCCTACAGTTAATCTTAATAGCTTATGGATTAAAAGTCTTTCATTATATTTATATCTGCATGGAGATTATATGTATAATAATCCCGATCAAACAATTTTTTTGTCGGCGCCTATTTTAAAATATATGTATGTGTACAGAATATAAGAATGATTACTAGTTCAACGACATTATAATTTTATTTCATATATTTAAATAAATAATATAAGATAGCAAAAGCCAGTTACTACTTATCGGCCCTAAAATCGACTCAGTTGAAGACAGACTTTCCGAAGTCTAATATATCTCTCGTTTTTTTTTTCGAGATAACAATTTATGACTTTTTTTAACTTATAACTTTATATTTTCTTCTAAACGAGTATAATAGCAATAAGGTTTTATTATTATTAGAAAAATTTTCTAATAATTTTCTCTTAAATTTCATTATTAGATGTAGATTTTTAATGTCATTATTATTCCAATATAATCTATTACGTTTAGAGTTTGATAAAAAACACGTTTAGCAGTATCGTTTACCTCGATCGACTACTCCTATTTATACAGTGCCTTTAAAGAATATATTCAAATAATGATAATTAATTATTAGGTTTCCAACGGAAATTGAACAATTTTATAATTAACATAGCGTGTATATTTTAAAATTTTGCAATTTGAGAAAAACTGATCGTTCGACAATTAAAAAAATATCACTTACTTGCATTCGTTGGGGCAATATTGTCCTCATTACATTATTGTTACCGCTCTAAAATTGATCTTACATCTAAATAATTGAAAGCTGATAGTGTAAATCGTGCGATATATATGTGTCCTTAATAGATGCCCTTCACTCAAACTATTCTAATTCGGAATTCCATTTGCTTCGTGAAATGCAGCAGTTAGAAAACGGTTCTCATTGTGATCATACTGTATCTGACTCAGAAAAATATCCGTTCGTCCAGAACCAATTTCTGATAGTATCCTCTTCCTAAGAGGCGGCCGTGGGACTAGCGGGTGTTGCAGGGACTGTCGCGTTGGCGGACTGTTTCGCGCGCCTCCGTTTATTTAACAAGGGATTATTCGTGTGATCGAGCTGTTTCAAACACGCCGTGTCGTAATCGACGCGCATTGTCGCCAACGACCGCGTCATCTCCTCTTGTACTTCAGGCCACATTTCTTCCCCCTCGCGCAGAACGCGTCCAGTGTGTAAGGGAGTGGCGGGTACTTCCATATATTTCTATAAGAAACACATAGTTTTAGAAAAGATACATATTACGGAGAATATTCACGCTAAGAACATCTTATATATGTTCTTACAGCAATCCAGTTGTTACGCATCACGGCATCGATCTGTAACCTTTCCGCTGGATCTATACACAGCATACCCTTAATAAGGTTCTTGGCTTCTTGGCTTACATTTGACCATTCCGGACTGGGAAAATCATATTGTCCTAATCGAATTCTCTTTTTCATTCCTGGCGAGATTGCCAGACCATGATTACTATAGAATGGTGGAAAACCGCACAATCTAGAAATAATTACACAAACATATTATTTTAATATATAACTTTCATTTTAATTCATTATCGAAAGAGAGAGAGGATTTTTTAGAATGCTCTATATTACATATAACGGAAAAAATTAATTATTAGTATGAAATAACTTGAAGATATATGGAAAAATACTTACAATATGTACATAATTACTCCCAATGACCAAATATCACAGCTCTTGTCATATTTTTCTGGTCCCAAAACTTCCGGGGCTAAGAATAAAATAAAAATGGATTATATAATAATTTTTTAATTTCAACTATGTACATATGTACTTATATAAATGAAGTATAAAAGCTTACCGACATAATAAGGTGTGTAACATGGTGTCTGTAATGTGTCTTTTAAATGTGTTTCTTTAGCAAATCCAAAGTCGGTGAGTTTCAGGATTCCAGTGATATCTGGAAATGAATAAAAATATAAATCATGTTATTCTATTGATTATACTAATGATACACTGTTAGTAACATAAGTTTCCAAAACTAACAATAAAACAATAAAAAATTTATTTATATATTGCATTCGCGTATTATGATATTATAGGCACTGCGATGTATATAGATAAAAATTATCGTAATCTTTGTAACTATAACTCTTCAAGGTCTGTAGATAATATATGATTAACTCAATCTTTAACTTGTAAAATGTTGTAAAGTGATAATTTCAAGTTGTCACGCCTTATAGAAAAACAAATAAATTGTTTTAAAACATTATATATATGTAACTTGTTCTCTTACCAGGTTTGGAATATAAAAGATTCTCAGGTTTTAGATCTCTGTGAGTGATGTTCATGTCGTGTAGATGCTTCACTGCGACACAGATCTCGTACATCACTTGCGCAGCCTCTGTAAAGAAACATACGATAAGTTTATGTATGTTTTCTAAAAATAGAAAAATTTGGCGGACTGCGAGTGTTGAAGCTATACCTCTTTCGGTAAAAGCGCCGTCTTGCCTATCTTGTATCCTTTGAAATAGCTCTCCGCCTTCCATACTAAAACAAAAAAAGGAGAGTTAAATATAAATCTGAAGAATCATGCTCACGATAAATGACGCCGCGCTGCATTAAAAAATATTACATTTTCTTGTACGTACCATTCCATGATTACCAGCAGACATTTGTTACCGCTATAGGAATTTTCATATACATCCTTAACTTGAACTATATGCCTGCAATTTGATGCTCTCCAATGAAGCTCGACTTCTCGGCGTGCTTTTGCGCAATCATGCAGGACCTGCAAATAGTGTCATTTAGCTTAACATACTCTCTTTTTCTCTTAGTTAACAAACATTTCATTAAAAATCTGTACAAAAAAATGAAAATAAAAAAGATTCAATTTTATTGCTGAACATGAAAAATCGAAGGATATTAATTATTATAAATTCTCGCAGTATCATCAAGACACAATTTTTAATATGTAATATTTAACATAAGTTATTAATATTGTCGCTACCGGATAAATTTGAGCGTCGTCGGCGAATTTATCGATGATGTTGATATATGATTTATATAAATTCAAAATTATCATTCATAACATTTGCATCACGTTCTATTACGTGCAAATTATAGTGCAACTAGCAGGTAAAGGCTTGAATCACGCTATTTATCGCAAAAAAATTATCATTAGAATTTCCTTGATAAAGACTTTTTCGCATTCTTCTTACAGTGGCAAACCAGTGGAGTACCAGAACATATTACATAATTTTACATAACTAACGCGATAATTGATAATAATCATCCAACCATCGTGTAATTCAATAAATGAATAATTAATAGCATTACAAAAATTATATGAAATATAGGGATTTACACATATATATACGCATATAATAAAAAAATCCAATAAAAGTGTCGATGTTTACAAATCTTATCGCTTTCGTAAAAGCATGACATTTTAATATTCATTAAATGTCATATCGTTTATTTTTAAATTTGGTGACTTTTGAAATAAAATCTCCACGAATGTAAATGGCAATAACATTTATCTTGCTATATTCAGTCTTTTCTGTTTTAAATTTTATTCGTTAAATTTATATGTATATTGAGTGAAGTAATTAAAGGGAATAATAAGAGCAATAATTTTGCGTGATAATTAGTGCGATATTAATAAAATATATTAGTATAATCACATTAAATATAGATACAAACTCAGGCTTGGTCACGGCAATGTATATTTGACATAATTATACTAAAATATTGTTAACAACGTATTTTAATTACCACGATAAATTATTGCTTTCATTATCCCTATTTAATTACTTCATTGTTTAAATTTTGAGAGCCCTATAATCTAATATTTGAATGTTTATATTTATTGATACATTATTAACATTCTGAGGATCAGCATATTTTTGATCAACTTTTTTATTTTAAGGGCTAAAACTTTTTTGTCAATGTCATGGGGTTGAGTGGTGAAAAATGTAGCACCACTGTCGAGTCCCTAAAGGGGCCTTCGGTCCTCCAAAGGTTAAATAATTATATACTAAAAGTTTAAATAATTGTATTTTATTGAATAATTGAGATACTAAATATTATATCGTTTCAAACTTGGCATCTCCAAATCATTTGAAGTTCGCAAAAAATATTTTATTTCTAATCGCTTATAGTTCTACGCATTTCAATGTTTTAATTTAGAAAAAGACAATCTCTAAATTAATCTCTCAAATATCTCTCTCTCTCTCATTATTAAAACTTAAATTAATTATTATTCCGTATATGACCGAGCACGTCATATAAAAACTAATAAATGTTAGTTTTCTTTTATATACGAAGGTGAATGACACGCAAATTGCTGATGACACAATACCAATTGATCAATCATACCGCCTTGCTATTCAAATTTTTCAGCAATCGAGCGCACAGTGTATACACGTGCAGCATGGCCTAAGCTTCTTCCTCTTGAACAGATCTCACGTTTACGCTCACAATTACGCTCTTTTAGAGGCGCGATCTTCTCGGATTAACAATTATACGAATTACCGCAGACGATTACAGCAGATGTTTATTGTGACGCGATGGGAAACTAAATAGCTATCACTCGTAACAGGAAAGAAACTTGCAGCACACTTTCTGAACGGCACAGGCGATTTGTTATCCGCAATCTTGTCAATCTGAGATGCTTAATGTACCGTTTAATTTATGCGACAATATCATAAAAACGAGCAACAAGAATAATGAGCATGATTCGCAGGCGTTCATTGTAATTATCATATACTTATATACGCTGTCATGTTAAAAGCTCGGAAGAATAAATACTATTCTGTTTAATGACTGACGACTATTTTCTGTTTTAAGTTGAAACATCCGCTGCAATGCGGGGGACTGAAACCAGATTGACGCCACGTCATCATATCAAAATGCGTTTCTCGAAGGAATCTGATGCTTCTTCGAAACAGTTCAAACGTGAAACGAGATCAACGTGGTACCATTTCATCAGAGCTCTTAAAGGAGTAAACTTACAATATTTTAAGTTGAAACATCTCCGATGCAAAACATTAAAACAAAATTAATGGTAAAACGAAAGAGGATGATTCGCTTTTGTAAATTGGCCAATGCAAAGATATTCGGAATATGCCAGATATGAGATAGCAAAAAGCAAGTCAGAGAACCGGTTCCTAAGATTTTGTAACTATTCCGAAACAAAGATCGTCAGAATCAGCAATAATATGAGCGAATGAAAAGTATCGTGAGTATCGTGAAAAAGAAAAAAAAAACTAAAATATCATATAATAAATATTTCACAAAATTAAATAAACGTTAAAAAAACGCTATAATAAAATTTATATTTTACAATATATGAGTCAAAACAAGATATTTTCATGACATTTGAATTGTCATATCACATCTGAATGACGTATGGGTTTCCACACAAGGGTCTTGTCATTCAGTTGTAGAAACATGGACGCTTTTATGTATTCATTTGGAAATGATTTTATTTGAAACATTTAAAACAATAAAATATTAAAAAATTAGATTTATTAAAAATAGAGAACTATTCATTTATTTTTTACTTTTCTATTTATATCTGTTCCAATTACAAAAAGAGCCATTATTTCGGTTGGTTTGTAATAGTATCACTTATTCTCCCTAAAAAAATTATATATTACAAGATATTATTAACAATATTTTTTATATTTATATTTTTATATAGTTTCTTTTGTAATCTATCACTATGTACACATTTTATAAGCAATCATACTTCTTTTCGGTACTCAACGGCAGTCAAAATATGTATTAAAAAGTATATCGTATAATTAATAGATAGACAGATTTATATTTATATCGTGAACCGCCTCGAATTCGTGCTTTTATAATAATCATGCAGTTTTCGGTATTTATAATTAGAATGGTAATATTCGTACGTCGTACGTATTTATTTTGCGTTGGCGTTATTCGTTCATATAGGCGAAAAGCATGTTTGTACACTTGAATAAGTACGTCACATGATAAATAGGTACGTCGTAAAATTAGATTAAGATTCATTGAAATTACGAAAATAGCGAAGCCACATACGTGGGTGTGCAGAAATGAACGAACTAATATGGAAACCCTTACATTTTATAGAGGATATTTATCTTCTGCAGCACACACGGAGGAATAAGCTTTTCCGATCTTGTCCTTGCACGTAGGCGCGTAAGAAAAATACCAAAGTAATCGTGTGTCGGAGACTAATACCGGATGCCGTAACAGAGCAATGCTAATAAGATTAGCACGTCACGACGTACAAGTCTACCTGCCGCGCGAAATAGACGGATGGATGGACGTGCGAGATTGTCACTCTGATGGTTCTTGGCGACAGATCAAATTGTACGCTCGTCGTTCTACGATTCTGTACGCCGGAGACTTTACACGTTCGTTGACTATAAAAGCCAATGTAATCCGTAGCAGAGCGACGACGTCATGCTTGTGGAAACACACGATCGATCGCCTTCCCGGTTCTGTCGGATCATTACGCGGTAATATGTACGTCAGTCAGGCAGAATTGGAAAAGTTTTTCATCAGTCACGGAAAAATCAATCATCTGGAAACAAGGTATCGCAGCTTCGTTTCCTTGTCAGTATACCTTTTCTACAGTAAATACCCAATGTGTAATAAAAATTACATAATATTAAATTTTGTAATAAAAAATTTATTACATATATGGTCTGTTTTCTGTTCCTGCATAGACTGAAACTAAAACTCTCTCGCTTTCGACAAATATCAAACATATACCTATCTCACTTTAAGTTCTAAAAGTGTTCAGCCACAGACCTATAATTATATTACGTATAATTTTTTTAAATGTGATTTAACATTAAAAACTACATAATTTTGTTATATAAGATTGCTATAATTTTTATTAGAATACTTTGTATTTGTATTATGCAATTTTTATTACGCTATTTTGAAACAAATTTACGCTAATAAGAATAATTAATCTATAATTAAATAAAAAAGGGATCCTATATTTGACTAAAGCAGATAGTTTTTAAATATTTCTGTAAGAATTAATATATGTATTAATTTTCTGTATGAATTAATACACTCTCTGTGATTCTGCCAATCGCGCGCCGAAATCTTGAAACATAATCCTGAACATAATCAAAATAACAGTATCACTTATTAAATCGCTTGTCAAATTTGAGATTAATTCTCAGATTAACATTAGATTATTAATATTATAAAAATGCTTATTAGTATAAAAAATTTGTAAATTGTTTATTAATTTAATACATGACATTACTACTCTTGTTACATGCTCGCAATTGCATACGTGTCATAACTGAAAAAGATTTTTGCGTGCAATCTGCAGAATTACATATGTATGTAAATTAACACAGAAATATTTAAGCACTAAGATCCACTTTAATCGAATATAAGATTTCTTATTAAATTAGTTTTATTACACTCTATCAATGCAATACCCATTTTTAATCTTTCATATATCGAAAATTATACAAATAACATAATCAAAGATGGTATTATATAATTAATAGTTAAAAACAATAAAAATATAATTAAAAAATGTATAATAAAGGCTCTGTTGAATGATAATTATGATTATATAAAAATATAATCATAATTATCATTCAAACAAATTTCAATATTTTCTTACTAAAACGCGACTTTCTTTGCAATTCTTCGCACCATAAATTATCGCGCAGCGAAAAGACGGAAAGTATTATAAATTATAAGATTCTTGATCTTGCACAATAATATTGTTAGATTCCAAGGAAAAGATCACAGAAAGATAAA